AGAGCAAAACCCCATCTATTTTCATAGTATTCTTATTAATAATTTATAGTGTTCAGGGCTAGCAAGATGGCTCAGTGGATAAAGGTGCTTGCTGCCAAGCCTGATGACCTGAATTTGATCTCTATGACCCACATTGTGGAAGGAGAGAACTCACTTCTGCAAGTTGTTATCTAACTAACTTACACACACACACACACACACACACAGAGAAAGAGAGAGAGAGAGAGAGAGAGAGAGAGAGAGAGAGAGAGAGGATCCCTCCCACATGTGTACATAAACCAAACATATGTAATGAAAAGTTAGAGTTCAGGATATTGAAAAGAATGAAAATGGTATTGAGTTAAGTATTGTTTCAATGGATTGTTTCCATAAGATTTTGTGCTTAATTTTTGAGATTTAAGTGTATGTATGTGTACCTGCTTGTCTGTATGTATATTATGTGTGTGCAGTACCCAAAGAGGCCAGAAGAGGGTGTTAATCCCTTTGAACTAGGGCTACGGGTGGTTGTGAGGCTTCTGAGGACCCAACTTGGTTCTCTGCCAGGGCAGCAAATGCTCTTTAATGTTGGGTCATTTCTTTGCTCCTCTTTTTCCTGGGTCCTTCATGCAGCCAGCCCTTGGCCCACTGAGCCACCAATCTACCAGAGGACTCAGGTTTCTTCCTGCAAGTCCCTACACCTTCTTGATCTGGGTTTACTTCTCTACTGGTGACATGCAGGACCTCAGGCAGTATAAATCCAAACTCTAAAACTTTGAGAGGTTACAGTCATGAATTCCTAGGGACAGGCATGCCAAACCCATCTGCATTCAAGGACTTGACTCAGGTGGAAAAACTCAATCTCAGCTCCTAAGTTCTGTGTGCACAGAGGGCTACAGAGCCAAAGCTCTGGGTCACTGAGGTCACCAGGTCTCCCCAGGGTGCCTCCTTGAGGCCAGCTGACATGAGGTCCTTTTCCCTTGTCCCTAGAAATGCCCCCTATTTTCCTCTGAGTCTTATGTTTATCCAGGATTTTTGTTAGTTTTGGTTTCCTATGTAGTAAGAGTAACTGATTAAAAAAGCATTATTTGTAGTCTTCTCTAAGGGTTAGTTTAAATGTATGTATGTATGTATGTATGTATGTATGTATGTATGTATATATGTATGTAGTTATATCTTTCATGTGGTGTATGAATGAGTGGTGGGCATCTGTGTAAGCATGTGAGGAACTCCTGGGCTGATTTGAGTGTCTTCCTAAACTGCTCCCACTTTATTTACCTATTTATTTGAGACAAGGTCTTGCTAGATAGTCCTGGCTTGCTTAGAACTTACTTTGTAGTGCAGGCTGGCCTAGAACTCAGGGCTAGGGTGTTGGTATTAAATGTGCTGCCTCCCTGGCCTATATGATTCTGTGTGATAAACAGGCTTAGATCGGACACTGTGCAGAGCTAATGCTGTACTATTGAAATGTTAGGAACACACACCTTTTGCTCCTTACCTGCCTGAGGCTGGGAGTGTTTAAGTGGCCACATCCAGCAATATCTAAAGTGACAGGCACAGCAGGATGCTCTCATGAGTGGATAAGGCCTAAGTGACTGGCATGGTGATTTAGCAGAACATCTGGGCACAGTGGCCACAGTATGATGTCAGGGTCACTGCAGAAGTCTGGGAAGTGGCACAGTAAAATAAACCCATGAACTCAGAAGCCTCAGCTGGGCTAGAAGGAGGAATGTCTCTGCCTGGGCTATGTGCCAGCTGTTTCCAGCTGCCAGCAGGGTCAGTGGAGTCTAAGCAAGGCTACAGAGGTCACTGTGTTGATGACGTGGTGTTTAGCTGGGAGACAGTGAGGCAGCCTCCAGGAGGGAAGGCACAGTCCCAGGTCCTGCACTTTGAGTTGCTTCAAGCTTCTCTAGGATTTTATTTCTTTGATGTTTCTGGTTGAACATCAGTGTCATTGTGTGAGCATGTCAAAGGTTTGGAGGGTTACAAAAAAGGGGCAGAAGAAGAGTTCTGGGATCAGCATGTTTGGGAATTCAGCACACAGATCATTCTAATTCGGGCTCCAAGGGAGTCCACCACTATCACTGTTCTTCAGCCTTGTTTAGGATGTCTTTGAAGCTAGTGCCTACACGTCTTCTGTTTTGAGGTGTACTGTTTTCATTGCCCAGTAGTTAGAGTCTGAAAGAGCTGTCCCTGATCATCCAACCCTCAGGTAGTTTCAATAATGTAGCCATGTCTGAGAGATACAAAACAGGGACTCTTCAGAGTGACTCAAGAGGAGGTAAGGATGGAAGAAGGACAATGGGAGACAGCACAGTTTCCAGTTCCTGGCTTTTACATGGGGATCTGAAGTTAAAGGGTTTTCCCATTCATTTAATTGACAGAGGATAATGATGCTTTGGTGGTATATGATCTCCAGTCATGGCCAACCTCTTTCCTCTGTACCTGTAGGCACAGGAGCAGGGTGTGTGGTGGATTTCAAGGTAAGCAATGAGGCAGGCTTAGGTGGAGGGACGCTAGCAGGAGAAGATGGAGATGGAGAGGGGAGGGCAGGGATGCAGAGACAGGTCAGGGATTCAGGGGGCAGGGATGCAGAGGGGAGGGGAGGGATTTGGGGGCAGGGTTGCAGAGGGGAGGGCAGGGGTGTAGAGGGAAGGGCAGGAATGAATAGGGAAGGGCAAGGGTGAAGAGGGGAGGACAGGGATGTAGAGGGGAGGGCAGGGATGCAGAGGGGAGGGCAGGCCCCTACATCCTGGAAACTAATTTCCTAAGGGGCAGAGTGGGAAGGTCTAGATGGAGGTGTAGGCTGGAGAGTGATCAGGGTGCACACCTGTCCAAGCCTGAGGTGCTGGACAAGTCGCTGTCTGCTTGGGCCATGTTTTAGTGACACCTATCACCAGCAAGTTCCTTGGTGTGGATGTCTGGCCCTACACCTCAGTGCTGTGAAACATGTGGAGAGCAGTATCTGAAGACTTTGGTTTTGCTTCACTTTAAGGCCTATCAAGTTCTAACTGGTCACTAGAGATGTCCAGCCATCTTCTTTGTTAAGCTGTCCCTGAGATCAAGAAAATGAATTTTCTTTTGATCTTTTACAATGAATGACCTTTTATAAAATGGCTTGAAAACTGCTTACAAGGTCACTGCAAACCGGAGAGAACAGATTTTGCCCAGAGCACATAATCAATGAGCATGCCCAACCCTGTCCTAACAAACCAAGTACTGACTTTACTCTTACCTGACTCAAATGTCATGGTTTGCTTAAGGGCATGCTGGCGTAATTAGCAGGACTGCCGAAGCACTGCAATTGTACCGTGGGACTGTCGGTCTCTTTAACTGTGGTTAAGTACCACAGATACAAGATTCTGTCCCACTATTTTTATGAGCACAGTTTAGTGATGCTTGCACCATTGGGCAATTCATTTCAGAACTTCTTCTTTTTAAAAATTGTGTGTGTGTGTGTGTGTGTGTGTGTGTGTGTGTGTGTGTGTGTAGAGGTCAGAGGAACTCGTGGGGTTGATTCTTTCCTTTTACCATGAGGGTCTTGGAGGGCAGTGGCACAGCCCCTGGGGACAAGCAGGTGTGGGATAATGTGATGAGTTTAGTTTGGATGTTCTGAGCGAGAACCCTGCAAATGTGATGCTTAGTGGTTCCCTGCAACAGGGCCTGGCCTGGTCCTCTGCATGGTCTCAGCTCATATGAAGTAGTGAGAGTCATTGAATTTAGCAACATTGTCTGCAGGGTAAGGTGTGGAGAGGAGGGTTGGAGATAACCTGGAGAATCAGAGGCGCAGGACACAGGGACAAGTGTCCCTTCTCAGCCGGGAAGGAGGTCGGGTATGGATGGGCACATAATTTGTGTTTTCAGAAAGGGCCTGATGTCTGGCCCTACTTTTTATGTCCCTACCCTGGGTATGTAGCTATTAAAAGGCTAAGGTTGGCCTGTCTGGGGTGGAGACCTTGGAGACGGGTGGACACTATGAACATGGCCTTTTAGAAAGTGCCATAGCGGGGAGAGAGTGGCCTCATGTGCCCACACTTTGTAAGTTCATGGCTCTAGCTGTTTCCTTAACAGGCTTGCAGCTCAGCTACTGGGTCAAGTGACATTTCCCACACTTGGAGGAGGGGCAGGGAAAGCGACAGAGGGAGGTTTGGGGACCAGAGTTCACAAAGACACCTTCTGTTAGTTTGAGGGCTGTGGGGTGCAGTCTCTCAGGGTGGAGGAACTTTCCAGAAACCACTGAATGGGCCTCTGTGGGGAGGCTCTCTTTCCTGCACATTGCACTCCTATCCGGAAACACATGACTTCATCCAGCCCCTGTCAGGATCCCTGAAGTGAGTGGTCAACAGAGTTTGGAGGCCACTTGAAACCCTGGGGTGCAGGCCAACATTAAGCAATAAGGGGCGGGGCAATCAATAACATCACAAACAAGAGATATTGTCTATCTCCAGGATCTTTCCTTACACGGGAAGCCCGACTTACAAAACGAGACCACAGGAAGACATGCTAGCTGCCTTCCCAGGCAATAGGGACTTAAGCCAGAAAAATTCATTTAAAATTATTTTGAAAATTGCAAAACAATCCTGCCTTGGGTGATGATTCTTCCTGTAGTGAAAAGTTTATTTTGGGAAACATTTCCCACAGTGTCATACAATGTATCAGTGGATCCCAACTCTAACAAAGTGCTTTTGGATAATGACAACACCAGTACTGTCTATGTCCTTTCCAAATACCAAATACAAATACTTTAATCTTTGTCTCCTGTATTTACAGGCCTGTACCAAAGACTTTGCCATTGGTAGCCTTGCCCCAAGTCCATGCTGACAGCTCATAGAACTAAGTGACCAAGCCTGGATTATGCTGATTTGTATAAAAAAAAAATAAGTAAAAAAGTAATAAGTAAAAAAAAAAAAGTAAGACTTATCTCCTACTGTTACAGTTACTGGTCCATCCTTCCCACCCCCAACTAATATACCTAGGGTTTTCGTGTCTCTTTGCCTCTTGTGGCCTGAGGCTGGTCCACTTACCACAGTGCAGCAGAGAGGCCAGAACCACCAGAGCAGTGCCAGGGCCAGCAACAGGAAGAGGATCAGCAGTGCAATCGCCAGGATGGAGCCGTCTGACTATGGGGTGAGGAGAGGGTGGTCAGTGAGGTGGAACACGTGGGGTCTTCCCTTTCACCCTCCACCCAACGATGGAAGATTTGAGGCCTAGATTAAGAGCATAGCATACTGCGCCCCTGAGTCAGACTCAGCCTATCACTCAGGGTCAAGGGTGTACCGCACACTCTCTTTAGCTAAGTTTCAAGAGAAAGAGACTTGATATTTCAGGAAGTCCCTAATCTTTATTTTGGGATCATTCTGAATGACCCATCTCACAGAGGTGACTAAAGCATGCTCCTTTGTCCCTGAGTGTTATCCCCATCTTGGGGACAGATTACAGCCCCCAAAGTCTGGGGTTCTGGCTACCTCCTGGGTAATTCAAAATAATCTTACCCTCTACAAAGAAGCCTCCTAGGCTGTGGGTAGGAGGTCTAGAGCCATTATGCCACACAGGATGGGGACAGGGCTATTTCTACCAATCTGTAGGTGAGGGTAGGGTGGCTGTGAAACTGGCAAGCAGCTCCTGGGGCTGTGTGGGGCTGGCAGGCAGCGGAAGTCACTATTAACCACTTCTACACATGCCAAGGCCGTCCTGGGGATGGACACAGTGCAAAGCCTGAAATGCCTGTCAGGTGAGAGTAAACCTAAGTTCCACTTGTCACCAGCTGTCTGTGTTCCGAGGCTGCTGGTTCTGGAAGCACCTGGGACCAGGAGTCTAAGTCTTTCCCCACCAGCCACACAAGAGCCACAGTGTCCTGGGGCCATAAGACACTGCTGTGCACATCAAATGCCACCTGAGTGTAACTGGTAAGTCCCACCTTTGGCCTAAGAAGTCAATCAGGGATATTTTCTTAGATAATAATACAATTAAAAAAGACAACTGCACAAAGTCTTAATGTAGAATTACCAATCTATCAGCTACCATGCTGGAATGTGCTGTCGGATAACATTTAAAGAGAAATAGTTCCTGGGATAAAGAGATTTCTGTGCACCTGAGTCAAGAGTAAGGGGCAGAGACAGTGTCTTTGATATTTACTAACAATCGCAACAATACTTTTTGTTGAGACAGGAATTCATGTATCTCAGGCTGGCTTTGAACTCACTATTGGATGGAGGCTGGTCTTGAACTTCTGATCCTTTCATCTCCACCCCTCCCCCGACAAGTGCTAAAGTGCCAGGATTACAGGTATCTGCCCCACACTGGGCATTTTCACTGACAGTTCATTTATATGTATTGAGATGTTAAAGTACCTTCACTGGCAGGCCAATTTACTTCTTTTTTTAAAAAAATCTGTATTTTCTATTTCCTTTAAAATTTTTTCACAATGAGAAATATCCCAAATGGCTTCTTTAGAATTTTCATGGGGAGGGGTCTCCTCTTGGACATCAGAGTGTGAGCACAGGGAAGCTCGTTCAGTCAGTGATCTGTGGGATACACAGTTGGGTTCAGGAGGAAGGAGGCTTGCAACCCAGCTGTATGCCACCATGACCCCAAGGGAAGTCCAGTCACAGGCTTCCCTCTCAGGCTGTCAGAGGTGTCCCTCTCCCACATCTACACAAGTGGGAGGCTGGGTGACCTGTCCAGGGCGACCCCACAAGTTAGTGGCAGAGCCAAGATATGAGTCACTCCTACTTCGATAGCTCAATAGGGCTCTGGAAGAGGTTTAAAGGCAACTCTCATTCCCTGGAACTCTCTGGAATGTCTTTGACCAAAAAGCCAGGGAACTAAACACCCTTGGCTCCAGCCAGAAAGCCAAGGTTTGGGAGTGTGGAATTGTCTCTCAAGGGAGCCAGGCCTCAGGCTCAGGTGCAGGGCTGGGCAGTCAGAGTGTGGGGTAGGGGGAAGTGAGGTCCTCCTCAGACCATGGCGGGAAGGCCCGCTGGGCCAAGGCATGCATATAGAAATCTGGAAGGGAGCATGCAGTTAGTGGCGTCGGCAAGAAACCATATGTTAGTTAAGGGCCAGTCTTGTGTCCTGTCTGTCTCTGTATTCTAGGTGACTGAGAGAGGGAAGAAAGCTGCTGCCTCTGTATCAACCAACGACAGAAGGAGCACGGGACAGGAGTGAGGGGAGAGGACCAGGCCATCCCATACAAGTGATCACGTCAGACTCTGAGCTGGAGTTTTCCTCTGTTTCCCCATAGCAACCAGCACAGTGAGCATTTCAGATCGTAAACCTGTCTGCACTTGGAATAATAAGTGGTTTGGTCACCAAGAGGCTTATAAAACTGCAGCCTTCCGTAAAGGCTGCAGACTACAGCTATTCACATTATGCACGGCACCCTCCTCCCTTGTTTCTGCCTCAGATAAACTGAAGCGGAGGCTGAGACACTGTGCAGCACGACTCTACATTCCTGTGGAAGATGGGGCAATTTCTGTGGGCAGTGTGGGTGAAGGTGGTGGTGGGGTGGGCTTGGGGAAGGTGGGGAACTTCTAAGGAAGACATCAGGAATGGATAGTGTTGGCTGGCTCTGCTGCAGCCCCTTAGGAGTCGAAAGTCCCCCTAATTGTAATAGAGGAGGAAAAGTGAGTTTAGCAAGGAGCCCTTCCCATATGCCAAGGCATGGATTGGGGTGTTTAAATCTTGTCTTGTCACTTAGAGAAAGCTGCTGCCTAGGTCCCATATGTTTCCTGAAGTTCTCAATGCCACATTTGTAAATGTCGCTATCAAATATGAAAGTCAGAACTTTGTTTTCTAGAAACTTAGAGCTAGAGGTGATAGTCCATCAGGGACTGGAACACACTGCAGGCGTCTATCGTGTCTGTACTCTGTGTTTAGTGGGCAGCTCAGGGACACAGGACCAACGAGACATGACCAAAGTGCTCCGTCTGCGGAGGGGATCTAAATAGCAGGAGGCATGGGTTACTCCATGGCTGTATACCCAGGAGGGAACAAAACATGTGTCTCCTAAAGCACTTACTTACATGCTGATGGGAAGAGGATGGTACCAGTGATAAGAATAATCACTAATAATGTATAAGGGTCATCTTTATTCTTTCTGCGTCCTAGACTAGCACATTTCATTCCTATTGATAATTTGATGAACTCTAAACTCTATTTTCTTATTTTCCCCATTTTATAGTTAAATATACTGAGGTAAGAAGATTCAGAGAAACTTGGAAGGCTTACAGAAAAGGCCATGGTTTTGTTTGCTTTGTTTTGTTTTTCCACATAGTCTTAGAGTCTCTCTGTAGCTCAGGCTGGCCTAAGTTTCCACTCTTTGCACCTCAGCCTCATGAGTGCTAGAGAAGCCAGAATTCAAATGTGGGCAACCTGGCTCCCGGGTATAACCAGCAGGCTCTAGCCCTTAGCATGGTAACCTGGGCCGAAGAACAGTGCCGTGGAACCAGCACTTCACACAGGAGGTGACTCTTGAGTAGGCAGTGTACTGGCTGGTTTTGTGTGTCAACTTAACACAAGCTCAAGTCATCAGAGAGAAAGGAGCCTCAGGTGAGGAAATTAAAAACAGGGGAGGGCCCAGTGCATGATGGGCAGCACCATCCCTGGGCTGGTGGTCCTGGGTTCTATAAGAAATCAGACTAAGCAAGCCATGGTGAGCAAGCAAGCCACTAAGCAGCACCCCTCCAGGTTCCTGCCCTGTTTTAGTTCCTTTCCTGGATTCCTTCAATGATAAACAATGCTGTGGACATCTAAGCTGAATAAACCTTTTCCTCCCCAACTTGCCTTTACAACATGGTATTTCATCATAGCAATAGAAACTCTAACCTGCAGGAGCAAGGAGAGACTGGACTCCTGTTCAGAGGCAAGCTCAGAGTTTGACTTGTGAAGGTGTGAGTGGGAGTTCACATACGGGAGACTCAGCGTGTGTGGAGTCGGGAGGAAGGCAGCTGGACTGGCTGTGAGAGGCCGCCCAGGGCAAAGGAAGGACTGTGTCTACACAGAAAGAGATCCTCCTATCTCCACTCTTCCTCACATGCCAAGGATCAGACTCTGTCTATAGCCAAGAGTTATCTGGAGTATTTCAGAATACACATCAGACTGTGGCCTGGCACTGTAGAAGGTGCCCTGTCTTGTGTTCCGTGCCTTGCCCTGGGCAGACTGCTTTGGCTCCTCTGTATCTGACCTCTAACATCACTCAGTGATCTTGATTTACCCTTGGCCTATTCTGTTTTACATGACACCTGCTCTTTGAGAAGGAGGAGGAGAAGGAGGAGGAGAAGGAGGAGGAGAAGGAGGAGGAGGAGGAGGAGGAAAAGGAGGTGGAGGAGGAGGAGGAGGAGGAGGAGGAGGAGGAGGGGGAGGAAGAGGAGGTGGAGGAGGAGGCAGCAGTTTTTTTCCTGGATGAGCATCTAGAGGGTTCAGGGGCTGCCACTGCACAGAGCTTGACTCTGGACCAGTGTGTGCTGGGCCTCTGCCCTGCCTGTCCACCAGGCCTTTGTGGGCATACTGAGGGCCCAGTGGAGCCATTTGGGCCAGTAACTGCCCTCAGGTAACTGTGTCTGCCAGATCCTGTCTTAGCTGGTTGTGTTAAGTCAGGCCATGCCCTACTGTAAGTTATTACATATTAGAAATGACTGTGCTTTCTAATTTTTAAGTCTGTGCATTGCTTTAGAAGACTTAATTTTTCCAGTATCTTTTGACTCCATTTTGAGGGAGAAGGATAAATGCACCTCTTGTATGGACCAGAAACAGCACCATCTGTCAGGCATACCCACCTAGCATGGACTGATGCATGACATCTTCCTGGGCAGAGATAGAGCCACCCTATAAGTCATTGGAAATGAATTGACATTGTAGGGGGTCATGGATCTATTAAAATCATATTACGGAAACCAGGCCCAAGAAGTTATTAGACACATCAGACCAAGGGAAGGGTGTAACTCCTTCCTCTGGGCCCCATAAAATGGTGAATACATAATACTTAGCTGGTATGGCTCCACACCAATCTATTGTCTAATGCATGTTGTATGTGTATCACAGACCAACAAGCAAGGAGCTCCCTGACTGTCTGTCTGTGGAGCTTCAGCTTGTCTTGGTTCCCTGCCTTTGACATTGTCTA